ATGAAGATTCAAGATACATTTAATATAACTCATCGGGAGTCTACTACTTGCCAGGAACTATACCTGGTCATTAATATACATTAGCTCTATCCTTACAGCAATCATCTTGGTATGTAAGAGATCCTCGATAAATGGTAAACATTACTACTTAGTTAAATGATTCAGTTAAAACAGTCACTCTTACCGTGAAATGTAGACGAAGAAACTTTTCTTAAAGTCTCTGAACTTCCTGACTATGCTAGCGGTTATAACCAAGTCTTGAAGTACAAGAAGGTGTAATCGCATTCCACATTCTTTTAGAGGGCTTTAATTTACTTCTATTTCTAACCAAGTTAAAACAGCTTCAGAAAACCACCCACATCCCTCCTTTAGCCTGTTCTCTTATTTCCCCTTCATTTACGTTTTCTTCTCCTCTTTTTTTCCTCCTTTTCTCAGGAGGTTGGGGAGAACAGTAAGGAGGAAGATGAAATGGGGGTCGATATTAGGAATAAAGAGGGACTAAGAAAGATCATTTTTCCCCTTCTGGTTGAACAGGATATGGCATATTATATTGTGGAAGGTAAGATCCAGAACAACCTGATCTGCCAATGTCAAATTAGGATGCTGGGGTCATGAAGAATAGAGATATGGTATGGGATAAAAAGGTAGCATGGTGAGACTAAAAGAGCATCAACTTTGAAGTCAAAGATACCTGGATTCAAATCCTGCCTCCCCCATTTTTTAATTGTATGATCAGACAAGCACTAAGTACTAAGCCTTTGTTTCCACCTTTATAAATTAAGGCGCAGCCTGTAACAACAAGGTCAAGAGTTCGGTTCCCCATACTGGCCAGCCACCAAAAAAAAAAAAAAAAAAAAATAAGAATAATCATAATACCTACCTCGAATACTGGTTGGAGTATGGACCCCGAGGGCCATGGGCAAGGGCAAGCTTGAGGGACAATAGTGTTCCTGGTACTTTTGACTTGTAAGGGGCAAGCTTACAGATGGAATTTTTGAAAAGGGACCCATTGAGGAGAGAAAGGCTGAGTGAACCTGCCTGAGAATGCAGAGGAGGCTTTGAGATTAGGGGAAGATGGGGAGAGAAGAGTACTACCAAAAGGAAAAAAATTTTGAGAAAGAGATGAGAGGGTTTTTTTAAAAAGGGTATTTTAAATAAGTTTTGTTAAGAAACCCTCCCCTCCCGTCTGCTCCCAAAATATGCAAAAAAAACCCCACCCTACACTTTTTTCAACATTTTGAAGATGGAATTCTGGCTTTTTGTGGGGGTGGGGTGGGGAAGGATGCAACAGCATATTGAGATTGACTTCATAGAACAAACTGGGAGACCCAAGGAGGCTGAATTACATTGGGGTCACATGAGAATTACATAGGATGATGCATGAAAGCACCTGGCATGTGCTAAGTAATCAATAAATATAAGTTCTCTTAATTTTGAGGGGGAGAAAATGAAGTTGAAATAGTTTAAATGACTTGTGTAAGGTTACCACACTAGTGACCCTGGTTTAATGTTTATTTCTCTAGCCATATTACCTCTTAACTTATGCTAATAATGTAGAATCTGTAGGTGACATCCTTAGAGAATAAACTGACTGTACACTTATAAGACAGCAAATGTTCTAAGATAACTTTTTGTTTTAAGAAAACAAATACAGTACACAAATGAAGTAGGGGGCAACATCATGGTCTTGTTATTATCTTATTATTAACCCTGATGTAGAGCTTTACCGGCTGATACTCTGACTTTTTATTTCCAGGCCTTCATCAACTGGGTCATTTCAGTTCTAAAATCTGTATCTGTATCTGCCTTGTCTAGGAGCTACTGCTCTGCTATATCATACAGCAGCTCCTCGCCTCTATAATTTTGTTCCTTTTTAATATGTTGTGCCATCAAGTATAATGCATGGGATATAAGCCTCAATTATTGTCAGTGTACTTGGAGACTCATACCAATTATAGTGATATTTCTCTGACAGGCCCCAGGCGAGCTGCAGCTTGGAATTCCTCAACACTGAGAAAAGATATTTTCTTTACGGGAAGATTTCTAATAGCATTTGAAATCCTTTAGCTTAAAACTGTCCTGGTTTTTTTCATTTAGTTGTGGTAATTTTTGTGCCTTATATGAAGACATGCATCCAATTTGTATTGTTATATTAATATATTTTAGAATGCTAATTATAGTGAACCTTGTTCCTTACAACTCTGCTAGATGGAGATAATGTTTCAAAGCAGACTTACCCAGCAAAAATATTAGCCTCTGCTACCTTCTCTAGCTCTCTGCTTAGCTCACTTCATTATAAATCCCCTCCTCATTCCAAATTCCTCTTCAATTATTTCCTGTCACCTCTCTATTTCTCCTTTATTGTCTTATTGGAGTTAATTCAAAATGGTTTTACTTTTTGAAACTTTCTCCAAATATAAGATAAAGAACCCCTGTGTGACCTAATTTCCACTAATTTCCTTTGCCTTCTAACTCTAGAATGACAGTTTTGGCCTCTTCAATGTTCCCTCCCTACACCAGAAGAAAGAACATTGCTCTTTAACTTGTACCGTTTTGTTTGAAAGCATCCCACTTCCTCCCTCTGAGCCAATGAGTCATTTTCTCTTTTTAAAGTGAGCCTTAAAAATCTTCCATTTCTCTTCAGTTTAAAATTATTCTCTTTGTGAAGTACTTCATGTCCTGTGTATGAAAGACAGCCCATAAAACAGAGAAGATTGCTTTAACCACTCAAGGACTACACTACAGATGCTGTGTGACATACTGAGACTTTAAAATTTTGAGTTAAATGGACATCATTTATTTTTCTCTTTATGAAGGAAAGGGATTTTGTCTCTCTTGTTCACTACTGAATTCCCAGAATCTTGTTTCATAGTAGATTTTCAATAAATACTTGTTGAATGGATAAATAATTGATTTCTCCCTGTTTGATCTTTTTAACTTGCTTAATACCATTTGTGTAGTTATCATTTTTCACATCAGAATCTCCTGTAATTAAGTGGAAAATACTCATAAAAGGGTATTGAAAAGTGAGAAATATATCAAACTGCAGAAGATGCAGCAATACCATTAGGGTAAGTTAACAATATGACTAAAGAGAGACACATTCATATTTGTGCAATTTACAGAATTTATACTACCATATCAAATATTTTCTAATATATATGTCAATGACTTATTTTATCTGCTAGTATACGATGTATCGCTTTGGTTTTAAAGTAATACTTTATATTGCAACCATCAGAGTAATAATTGATTTAGGCAGGAATCGTCAATGGATGCTAAAATAAATGGGTGAAAGCTTGTTGCAGAACAAGATATTTACACAGTCTCAAACTATCACCCCACAAATTACTTATTAATTACGAGGGAATTTTTGTAATTCTCTTACAATAGAGAAATCTTCTGAACATTGTCTTTTTTTTTTCTTTTTTGACATCTGGCCAGTATGGGGATCTGAACTCATGACCTAGGTGTTATAAGGCTGTGCTCTAATCAGTTGAGCTAACCAGACAGCCTTGAATACCATCTTAATCATAAGATCAAACTTAATGTCACTAATAATGGGATAAACTGCCATCATGTGCCTCCTGATATGATATACTGAGAAGGCTATAATATCACTTATGTAGTTTTCCTGCCAAAAGTGTTTAACATTTTAAATAATTAGAAAAAAATCAATTCCAAATTGAGGGACATTGCAAAACAGTTTGCCTATGCTCTTCAAAAATGTCAGGGTCATAAAAGTCTAACAAAGGAGGAGTTAGATTAGAGGAAACTAAAGAGACATAACAGCTACATGCAATGCATGATCCTCAATTGATCTTGAATTGAAAGCAAAACAAAAGACACCAGCAACCGTAACAGACATTATTGGGACAGTTAGAGACGCTTGAATATACAACTTTATGTTAGATAAACTATCAAGCCGATGTTAAATTTACTGAATGTGATAATTATATCGTGGTTATGTAGGAGAAAGTTCTTGTTCTTAGAAGAGATGTGCTGAAGTTTTAACAAGGTGAAGTGTCATGTCTGTAAATAATTCTCAATGGTTCAGGGAAAAAAAAACACCTCTCAAATGGTTCACCAAAAATATATGTGTGTATGTGCATGTTTATATACATATGTATATATATATGCATATGTGTGTGTGGTGAGACAAATAGATTTTATACATACACACATGTGAGAGAGAAAAAATGTGGCAAAATGTATCAATTGATGAACCTAGGTGAATACTATATGTGTGTGCATTATATTAATCTTGCAACTTTTCTCTGGTTAAAAGACTTTCTAAATAAGAAGTTTTTAAAAAAAATCCTTAAAAAAGCATTGTCATGAACTCAGGGTTATTTTGATTGCTTATTCAGACACATAATGCTCAAAATTTCTGTTGGGGGCAACAAACCTTTCTTTGAATTTTTGGTTTTTACTATCCTACTTTAGCTCTCCTTGCCTTTACAGTCACTGCTGTATTTTAAACAGAGTCATCAATAGTTTTATGTGCACAAATACTTCAACAAATTCTGAATGTGCCTAGTGTGGACTAAAATTCTGTTTCTTGAAACAGGAGACTTCTCTTATAGGGCTTCTTATAAATATATTTAGTATATATCCTGTAGAAAGCTTGCTTTTTTTGTTTTTAGGCTAACAGCTTACAAATGCAATAGAAGTCATTCATGTATTTGGAATATAAGTTTTCTTTCCCTAAGATCTTTTTCTTAATGTCCTCCAATGTCATTTTAGTTCTAGACCAAAGAGAAGCACAAAGTACCACTGAAAATGGCTAAACTATTGCTTTATTATATACAGAACTAGAGAAAAATATAGTCTAGATAACAAATAAGTGACATTTATAATTATGAAGTAATAGGCACTGTGCAATTAGGTGATTTGTGCTCACATCAAGACTGATTATTTTTAAATTATTTTCTATTCTACATTCTAACCCTCTTGATATTAACATCTGTAAAATACAAAAGTAGAATATTTGGGCTTACGTCATAGTTGCTCCTGGATCAGCAGTCATTTGATTAGTCACAAAAACAGCCACATTATATTCTGCATCAAGAAATACAATTATGAAACTAAGAGAAGGGCACTATATATATAAAAAGTTCATTGTTTAGATTTCAGAGTTTAGGAATATTGTGCTATGAATTTATTTTATAAATTATAAATAAGATCATATTCCTATTTTTTCATTGATAACAAATTAATTAATGTAATTATTATTATTTAGGTTAGAATAAACATTCTGGCTTAAAAAGAGTTGTATTCCCATGAATGTAATTCTATTTTTTAAAAATTACTGCCTCGTGACATTATTCTGAGCTTCTCTGAAATGCATACTTAGCAAACACAGTCTCAGATGCTATTCTGATAGTGCCATTTTATTTTAAGATATACCTTCTGAGATTTTTTGAAGTCGTGACAACATTTGGGCTAACTTTTGCTGCCGTTCAGCCAACTCCCCACGACCACTGAAATCCACTCGAAAAAGTGCCATTACTGAATCAATGATCTGCACAGGGTTAATGTAAAAGTTAATATGCATTCAGAAATAAAAGGAAGAAGTTAATTTGAGTAGGATTCAATAGAAGAGAAATAATAAACAGCCCTGTGAGTGAGCAATATTTACTAGCTTGTACCAATAGCTTGAAGATGCCAGCTTCTTCATGGAATTTTGCTGCTACATAATCAAGTAGCTCCATCTGATGTTCACCTGGTGGGAAATGCAGTGAGAAAATGTTACAAAAGCTAGAAGAAGCAAAAGCTAAGATCATTCATGTCCTTGGGAGCCAGGAGAAAGAGAATCCCTAAAGGATTCTCTTAATTATTTATGACTTATTAAATATGAGGGTATTCCGGAACGTTCATGGGAAGATTTGTATTATCTTTTAATTCTATTTTTCCACAAACTTTTTGAAGTACCCTTGTATGATTGCATATTCTACCTTTTATCATACATGCCAAATACTACATTATCCAAAAAGAATGTGACTCTGCATTTCAAAGACACAGAATAAGAAATAATTTGAGGGCGTTTTAATATCTAAAGACTTACCAGATAATAAACTTTATAGACTGACCAAGTTAATTTGGAGAAAAGCAAAATAAAAGAGAAAAGAATAGTGTCTAAATGTAGTACGTATCACTCAAGTAGTAAATCAGTGCTGCCAACTTTACAATTGACCAAAGCATTCAATTGCATCGGGCTCTTACTAGTGTATGCGCGTGCATAAAGTACATTATCCAGTACTGCATCGTGGTCTACATTGAAGCGATCAGCAATGTCCCGAAGGCGATCTGGACGGCTTGATCAAGATTAAGGATCCAATAAATCAATTCCAAAAAAAGTTTAGAAAACAACTATAAAATACAATGCCTTAGTTAAGTAAATTAACAGAGAGGCAAAACAATGTACCTGCAAAAGTATTCTGGAGGATGCTAGCAATCACTTAGAAAAAGTCCACACCAGATTTTATTTTTCATTAAGTGCCTCAATTTACCTCAGACGGTAATAGTCATCAAAATGGTGGCAGTAATGCATTTAAATACTAAATTTTCAGATCTTTACAATAACCTTGGAAGTTAGTAATTATGGCCTATATTACATTTTACAAATGAGGACACTGGCAAACAGGGATTAGGTAAATGACTCAGGATTATGCAGTTCCAAGAAAAAAAAACTAGAAACTATAAAGTTTGTGAGTCTCTTTTGTTCTCAGTTCTATAAAAATAGGTCTATCCTGGGCCGGCCCATGGCTTACTTGGGAGAGTGCAGTGCTGATAACACCAAGGCCATGGGTTCAGATCCCATATAGGGATGGCCGGTTCGCTCACTGGCTGAGTGTGGTGCTGACAACACCAAGTCAAGGGTTAAGATCCTCTTACCGATCATCTTTAAAAAAAAAAAAAAGGTCTATCCTAGAAAGATAATATCACCGAAATATAATTCACATCACTTCAAAGTGAATTAATTTACTCTTCATACCCCTCATCTGCTCAATATAAAATAGTTTAAAATACAATTAATCATGTGTTGCCAACAAATGGTAAATCTGACCACATGAACAAAAGGGCCAAAAAAGTAACCTCAAGGATCCAGAAGGGAATTATCAACCCAGGGTTTTTGGTTTATATAGGGTTTATAATCCACTTTCTTCTAAAAGAGTTGCTAATTTTCTGAAATTAGCAAATTCACAGGGAGGCAAAGTACCTGCAAAGGTATTCTGAAAGATGCTAATACTTGTAATCACTTATATTTATAAACTATAAAAGAATAATAAACATTTTTTTCTTAGGTCTTTGATGATCTCAACATGTCTGAAGTAAAACAAAGTAAAATAAAATGCTTGTCTGTGGTCTCATTTCACTTTGTTTATACTGTTTATATAGCACTTATCATACTACAGTATAAGAAACTGCAGAGCAAGAACCATTTATAATCTCATTTGTGAGACTTGCAACTAATTCAATAAATGTTGAATTGAATTGCCTTTAGGATTTCTCAGTCATCTATATCCCCTAATGTACTATATATGTTCTTTAGAGCTTCAGTGACAGCCACTAAAATCTTCCATTGCTATTGATTATATCCAACAGATGTTTTTGGTGCACAAGTCAAAGAAAACAATGAATTGAAAGAGGCAATAAAAATATTTTTCACAATGTCAGTTTCTGCAAAACCCAGATACTATGTGACCAGGGGTATAAAAGTTGAGCTTACAGTGAAGGGAAGTTCAAATCAATCTACAAATATTCATTAACCAATTACCATATGGAATTGATTGCCATACTAACGAATCACCAAGGCAAAGCATTGTGGAGGATATAAGGAGTCATAAGACAATGTGTGCCCTAGGTAAGCTTGAAATACAATTAAGCAGACCAAATATAAACATCTAAAGAGGAAAATATCAAGAGACAGCAGTACACATGTGAGAGAAACTGAAAGAATGAGAATATTCCACTGTGGCCCTTGCCACAGTGCCCTGCCCCTCGCCCTCCTTGCATATGACTCAGCTCCTAACTGTTCCTATCATTCTTGATAAAATCCAGATTGATCAAACAGTGGCTACTAATCTGCAAGAACAATGCCTCCCTCTCTGAGAATCATCCTTAATCAACTATTTATGAAACTAGCTGAACTCCAGACAAGCCCCCTTGCTAAAGCCCTATACTACATTCTGCCGTCCTTCCCGAAGTTGGAAGGCTCATTCGGTGTCTTCTAATGCCTGACATTTTTTAATAAAGTCTTCTGCAAATAGTTCTCTGGTTGCTTTTCTTCTACACAAATATTTTAGATAGTGAATTCTATAATAGATCAAGAAAGACAAAGTTTTCTAAATTGGGTAATTAGAGATTAGAAAAAGCAGGCCTTGGAATGAGAGGCTTAAAGTATTTGTATTATTCAAAAAGACTGAGAGATGGGGATAGAGGGAGCCAACACCCAATAGGATAGAAATACTCTCATACCAGGCAAATTTCTCTATGACCAGCCAAATTAACATTCAAGAGTGGGAGCAGAAAAGATATTTATTTTCCAGGGCTCAAAGTTTACCACCTGGATTACTTTTCTGAAAGAAGTATTTAAGTAGGTCCTCCAGCAAAACAAAATATATAGCAAAGATTTAAGATGCAAGAAACCATAATGAAAAAAGAAAACAAAAATCTTTATAGTTAAAACATACATAATTGCTGATATATAAATGTTTTCAAATTTTAACAATAAAGCATGTCTAGAGGCAACGGGATCTGACTAGAACAGACTCATCTTTTTGCCTCTAATAGTGACAATAGTGAGTAATGAGCTTGGAAAGGCAGATTTGTGCTTCATTGTGAGGCCTTACAAACTTGTGCACATCTTTCTTATTATTAAAAAGATTTATCATTTCCTATGATCCTGATACTTTCTCAAACTACTGTATTTCTTCTTCCATTCATTGGTCACTCTCTGACCATTTGCAAGAAACTTCCATCATTTCACCCTACCACAAATGTTCTCTTGAACTCCTAATTTTGAACTTCAGTGATTTTTCTGTCTGCACCTTCAAAATCTCTCTCTGTGTGAAACATTACTGACACTGTTTTCTTCTTGAAACTTTCCTTTTGCTTATCTTCCACAACCAGATTTCCTCCTAATTCCTCTGTCTCTGTGGGTTCCTCATTTTAGTCTTCTTCCTAAGTACATAGACACACCCCAAAGTTATGTTCTCAGTTCTCCTCTCTTCTCTCTCTGTAAATTCTTCCCCCCTTGGTAATTTCATCCGTTTCTCTTACCCAACCCCTTTCTCATGCTGAGCCCAACATTTCCAACTGCCATCTGGATATCCTCTTGTACCTCATACCAACACATTAAAATGAAATATCACCTTTTTTCTGAAACATGATCTTCCCAATTCTATCATTAGCATCATTATTTTCCCAGTATTTATTTTTATTTTTTAAGTTTATTTTATTTTATTTTTTTATTGATACATGGTGGACTTTTTATTATTGAAAAATAATTGATCAAACATATTTATGGGGCCGGCCCAGTGGTGCACTCGGTAGAGTGCGGCGCTTGGGAGTGTGATGGCACTCCCGCCGAGGGTTTGGATCCCATATAGAGACCGGTCCTCTCACTGGTTGAGCGCGGTGCAGGCGCGACACCGAGGGTTGCGATCCCGTTGCCGGTCGCGGTACGGGCGCGACACCGAGGGTTGCAATCCCGTTACAGGTCACAAAAAAAGACAAAAAGGAAAAAAAATATATTTGTGGGGTACAGAGTTGAATATCAATACCTGTGTACAATGTGTGATGATTAAATCAGGATAATTAGAATGTTCATCATGACAGAATGGAATTCCTTGTGTCCATCAGCCAATTTCTTGCTAACCCTCCTCCCCTTCCCCCTTTCCCCCTTCTAGTAACCACGGTCCCATTCTCCTTCTGAAAGTTCAATGCATTATTATAATCTTTCCTTCTTTTTTTCTTTCTAGAAAATTAATTTGGCCAGGCAAAGCTAACTCTTTTTTTATCACAATAATCCAGAATGAAAAAAAATTTTGATCTTCCCTTAAAAAGCAAGCTTATGTCTCTTGTTCCTTTTTAAAAAAATATTAACTTTGACCCTGCTCTTCTCTCAGACAACCATCTCATGTCTCCTCCACAAGTGACCACACTGGCCACATAATCCTGGAATCATGTGATTATACATGAAGTGAGAGGCAACAGATGCCACTGAAACACAGTTCATGGAGGGATTTGGGGCATCTGAGCTTCATTCATTCACCTAGGAGATAGGGACTTTCAGTAAAAGGTGGCACTTTTACTTGCACTAAATCTGTTTTTCTAAATAGTCCAGCTGGCTTCCTTCATGCCATCATCTCAAGTTTCATCTCCTTGTACATCTCTGTAGCATGGGAACCTTGCTGACAATTCACTTTGAACAACTAATTTTATCTCTAGAAAACAAAGAATTTTTTTTTTCTAGCTAGCCTCCAAGTCCTCCTTCAGTTCTGACTCTGAGCTTTGAGATTTCTTTATGTCTGTTACAGATATACATTCCTTATCCCAGTCCAGTGAATCCCAGGCCATATTAGGTTCTCTAACAATCTGGAATATCAGATCCAATATTTTTCTTCCTTTTTTTTACCTTTAAATGTTTTGTTTTGTTTTTAACATTAATGTATACATATTTGTAGGGTACAGTGTGTATCAATACATGCAGATCCAATATTTCTTGCTTCCTCAAAACCCTCTGACCCTTCAGGAAGCAACCTATGGAATAGTCAATTCTTGCCATCCTCTCTGCATAAGGACTTAGTTACATAGAAGGACAAAGTGAGAAAGAACCATCACTGAAGGACTTACTGAACAGGTTATTCCAGGTCACGTTTGTCTTTTCCTCAGACTCCATTTGATGGTTGAGGTTTTTTTTAGCAATTCTTCACAGTAAAATGGAATTCCACAGCTTCCCTCCACCAGGTACAAGTCCAAGTTCTTTGGGGATGCTGCTCACATTGAGGTCAGGACAGACCTTGTTGCAGATGTCCTTAGGCTGTACAGTACCAAGGGTGACATAGGTAGTGTTCCTGTTCTTCATTATGCCACTGGAAGCTGCACAGGGTATATCAACAAAGGGAGACAGGGATAGTGTAGATAAGCTTCTTCATAAATGCCCAGGAGGCTGACTCCACAAACTGGGCCTCGAGATGAAAATAATTCTTTCCTCTTTTTTTTTTTGTCTTTTTTCGTGTCCGGCAACGGATCGCAACCCTCAGTGTCGCGCCCGTACCGGACCGGGACCGGCAACGGGATCGCAACCCTCGGTGTTGCGCCCATACCTCGCTCAGCCAGTGAGCGGGAACCAGTCTGTATGTGGGATCCGAACCCTCGGCGGGAGGGTCCTTCTTTCCTCTTTTACTGTCTGTGATCCTCACCTTGAGTCAGGTACTCGATTTCCATTAGTATCTGGCTTTTTCCATATTCTGGCAATCCTTCGTACATCAGTACTCAGCTGCAGTTAGACATCAAAAATTCCTTCATAGTACACATGAAGTATCTGATCTCCTTATCACATCCCAGCAAAGAGTAACCCTCATTTCTTTTGCAGATGAAGTATGCCATACCAAACATGACTCTCATTAAGGCCCAAACACTGAAAGACTGGTCCAGAATCTCCACACCTTTCATAACTTTCTTTGGAATCTCTTTTAAAAAGTAGGCTGTTGGGTTGCTGCCATTTTAAGTGACAGAATCAAGGGCATGATTCCCATCATCATTCTGGCAGCTATGTTGACTTTTTGACCAATGACTGTGAACTCATGTCTCACAGTATGTCCCACACTGATGGACACAGTGTGGATTTTGTGGACCTGAGAGCAGAAATCAAATATATCCACAGCACTTTCCAAAGCATGAGTGACCTCATCAGGTGCCTTTCCCCTGGGGGAAACCAAAGACACAAAGGAAGGAGCAGCCCTTGTCAAATGTGAAGACTTTATTGATTTGGCCTCAAAAGACCTTCAGAACAGAGGTGATGTGCGTGCAGTCATCCTGGATGGTGGAGCCTATGACTTTTGCTTTATCTTGCTCTTTAAACATCAGGTTCACAAACATGACTGCCACTGGGCAAAGTTCAGACAAATAACGCCCAAGCTGTTTGTGGTCACTATACTTCAAAATGCTCTCCATCACAAACTTTTGTAGAGACAACTCCAGTTCAGGATCAGAGTCCAGCATGCTCGCAAGCCTCAGGAGGTTTTTGTCATCACCAGAAGAATAATAATTCATGAAGGTCATACACTTCGTGAAAAATTCATCAAAGTTAAAAGTAGGGGGTGGTTTTAAGAAGTTAACCTTAACTGCTCTCTGATCTGGAATCCTCTCAATTTCAATCATGCTCCAGTCACAGAGCTACCAGCAGTTTGGTGACAGAAAGACATCATTCATCTGTGCCATGTTCTGTGCAAGGTGCACATCACCCACCACCTGATCAATCACCAGAAAGTGGTTGAATGTTTCATCTCCAAAACCAACACGATAATGTGGCCAGCAGCCAGTCCTATCTTGACTCAGACATCTAGGCCTTCTTCAGACTCCTGGGTCTCAAACTAGCCGTGGATCTCCAACAATCCATGAATCTCCAGGCTACATTTAATTACCACCATGATAATGTTTTTTAACTGCTTTTGCTTCACCTTCCACAGGGCTAGCAGTGCATCACTTGCAAATTTTAGGATGTCTCCTTCAAAAATCAACACTTATTTTCTGAGGCTAGGAAGTCCAAGGTCCAGGGAACGTATCTGGTGAGGACCTTCTTCTACAGAAATGCAGGATGTCACATGGTAAATGGGCTGAGCAAGAGCTCTTCCAGTATTTAGACAAAAACCCTGAGAGTGGTTTCTCAAACCTGTCTTTTCTTTGTCTACCAACTACAGTCAGTCATTAAATACTATCAATTTCCTCCTCCTAGCATTTCTGGTCCTTTTCTTTTTATTCCTGCTGCTTCCAAAGTAGATCGAGTTGTCATTACTTGACTAGAATATTGCAAAAGTATCCAATTTACACCCACCCACCATTCAAAATCCTTCATGTCTAAGATCCAAATCACCTTTCTAGCCTTGTATTCAGGAATACCTTACACTTTTAATTAACCTGTAATTCTTTCTGTTACCCATTCAGGTTCTGCCTCTTTTTCTTCTGTGCTTTTGCTCTCTATATACCTTTCCCTTTATTTGGGACCATGACATTGATTGAGTCAATAATTTTCTTTCTAAGTATCAAATAGGCTGGCCTGTTAGCTCTGTTTGTTAGAGGCTGGTGTTATAACACCAAGGTCAAGGGTTTGGATTCCCTTACTGGACAACCCCCAAGGCGGGGGAGTGGGGAAGGAAGCTAAGTATTAAACAAAATCTTTGGAGAAGGTTAACAATGAATAAGATACAATTTCCTCTCATGTATTTGTTTTGTCATTTTTACACCAAACCCATGTGGAGAAGTGAAACTTTATTAAATAAGAAGTAATTTGAGAATTTGAGCAGTCATTGTTTTCCCCTTTTGCTTTTCTCATTATTGTTGGTTTTTATGGGATGATTACAAAAATGATGGACCTGCTGGTTAGCTCACTTGGTTAGAGCACCACCTTGTAACACCAAGGCCAAGGTTTTGGACCCATGTACTGGCAAGCTGCTCCCTCCCTCCCCCAAAAAGATATATTGTAAACAACCTGTTTTGTAGTAATGTTACTATGTCACACTATTATGTTCGCAATTTGTTTTTAAAAAGATACAAAGTATTTTCTGTATCAATGAAGATAATCTTTCCTCCTGGGTAGCCACTGGCTCCTGGAAGTTGAGCTGTCACTAGGGAGCAATTAAAAAATTAATATTAATAGGAGTGAATAAACTTTGTACAAATGAATATGTAAATAAACATGGGATTTATGCTGGTTACAACTATTTGGTGAATTACCAAAGAATCATGATCCTTTAGTTTATAAACAACATGGTATATTTTCATAATACTTAACCAGTGGGGAAATTTTAAGTGTTCTGCCAGCATAGTAGTCATTCAACAAAGAATGTCAATATTTCTCACAATGAGAGATATTCATGAAAGTTAATTCTTCCAAAGAATGGAAGTAGAATTTAAATATTACTAATTTTCTTTCTATAAGTAATAATCACAGATATATTTATGTTATATAATTAATTTAAGTTGCATTTCAATTAATGTATGGCAAATTTTAAAAATGCATTGACTTCTTATGTAATAGTAGTTAACACCAAGGAGCTATTTTATACCAGGTAAATGCATTATTTCATTTAATTTTCAAAACAATCCTAAGGGGCTGGCTGGTTAGCTCAATTGGTTAGAAAGCAGTGTTGATAACACTAAGGTCAAGGGTTCGGATCTCTGTATAGGCCAGTCACCAAAAAAAAAAAAAAAAAAACACCTTAAGATTTGGCACTATCATTATTTCTATTTAATAGATGGGGAAAATTAGAGAGGTGAAGCAACTTACCCAAGGTCCCATTGCTATTAATTGTAGAGTCAAGACTAGAGTCAAATTGTCTAATTTGATTCCAGAACCTCCTTCTTAACCACTTTGCCATGCTCCTTCTACTTAGGTCAAAGAGATGCAGAGTAGTACTCTGTCTTTGTGAAAAAGGAGATATCTTTGCTTATTCTGTTTTAGAAAAATTTGTTAAGTCTTAGAGCCAACCTTACTGCATGGAAAGTAAAGAATTCTAGGCCTCAATAGATTTTGTGTCATTCTTGTAAAAAAGATACAGAAAAAATGGAATAGGAAAAATTGAGACAGTGGACCCCTCTTTTCACCAACACACTCATATACTCATTTACCTTCTCCCTTTTTCCATTCAGGTATTTATAGTGCAGTACATACATCATATTAAGCATCACACAAATACTAGCTCGGGTATCTGTGCAACCATGGGCAACTTACTTAATCTCCCTGAGTTTTTGTTTCCATGCAAGTATGATCAGATCACATGAGATTATGTAAAGTACCAGCCACATAGTAGATGTTTAGTAAGTAATAGCTATGATTATTTATTACTGCTATTGTTATTGTTGTTATATATCCTTACCACAGAGGGTATGAGAGAGCTGGGTTTTTCCAGTACGAAATTCTGTGCAATAAAGAAAAAATAATTTAAAACATGCATAGTTAATTTTATATTTTTTCATAAAGAATAAAACACGGCTTCAGAATATTACTGTTTTCTTCTCTATCAAATCTCACTCATAAAGTATCTCTTGTGTCACAAATGGATTCTGCAAGTATGAATACCAATAGTAAAAAAAATTTAAGTATTTTTTTCACGGAATTGTCCTTTAGATAAAAGTTAATTTAAACCAAAATTTCCTTAGGAACAGTCATAAATGAAAGTTCAAGACCCCACCTCAGAAAGGAGATCCTGAGGTTCCCCCAGTGAACTGAGATCCTCAAGGGGAGCTGAAGTAGTCTGAGATTGGTGGCATCCCCTAGCTACCAGCACAAGCATCTTCTCTCTGGAAAACTTCCCTACTCATCCATTTAGATCCATTGAATTCTCATAGATTAAGTCAAGCAATAAGCTCATAAATATTGATAAACACACAAGAAGGTAAGCCACTAAGAATCAGTTAAAAGAAATAATGAAAACCAGATTAAGTTCTCCAAGTCAACAGAAAAAAATAGCAATAACAAGAAGAAAACAGATTTAGTTTCCAAAGGACTGCAAATACTGGAATTGTCAGATATGATATATAATACAGCTATGCATGAATTGTTCAAAAGAAAATAGAGGACATAATCAAGGAAGAGAGAATTCAATCTCTATGTTCATGGAACATGCATTGACTAGAAATAAAATCAGCCTCATTATTCAAATAATTACCTTTCGAAGGAATAGAAGAAAAATTCTATTCTCTTCTATAGAAATCACAAATAAAAGGATGAAAAATGTCAATAGGACACATGTTAATGTTGGTATATATTTTCATTGCAATCTTGAATGATCCTGTATTATGATCATCGGGATTTCTTCATAAGTTCCAAAATAAGCACAATTCACTACTGGTGGTTTATTTAATTACAGGTATGTGTGTATTATTACATATAAAATATACACACCTATGTTATTTCATGTAACAAACTATTGAGGTTCTACTGACCTCCAAAAGCTTCTGTGATTGCCATGCTTTCAATTCCACCTCCTAGCAACTTACTGGAAATAGAAAGAAAATATCAGGAACAGGAACAGAAATAGAGATATCAAGAAAGGAGAAAGTATTTGTATCATTAGTATCATATCTATCTATCCTAATCTACCATCTGTCTGTCATACGACATGAACAGGAATTCTTGGCTGAACAAATGGCACTCCACCTGTTCAGATCACAGGTTCTACTGTGTATGGGTAGATGGATCAACAAAACAATTTATGAGCCCTGCTGTTGTCGCTTCTGAGTATCAAGACTAGATGGGTTAGTAAAGCCTTAGGTCTCACTATTCCTTACAATTGAACTGCAGTTAATAAAAATGATCTCTAGTTATTGTGTTTTTCATATTGTGCTAGGACTGTTTCTAAAAGTCAACTGAATATTCAATTTCTAATATACTGAGAAACATATTAAAAATAGATATGAGGAGAATACAGTGATTGTCACCATGGTTGGCTTATCTCTCATAAACCAAATTTTATAAAGAACACATCAAAATAGAAACTGTTCAAAGATGTTAGGGCTGGCCAGTTAACTCAGTTGGTTAGAGAATGGTGTTGTAACACCAAAGTCAAGGGTTCAGATGACAGCACACATTTAATTGGTAACCCAGTGTTTTAGTACTTTTAATGTTCTTTATATGAAAAGACCTAAATTCAAGTCATGATCTCATTCATTAATTAAATATAACAAATATTAATTGTGTTAACTGTGTTAAGACCTACTAGAAGCACTTTAAAAACCTTTGTAGTTTCTATTAGCATGACTTTTGGGATGTGATTATAGATCTGACAAAGCCTTAAGAGAATGGATAATCCATTAGATTTATATTTACATAGTTTAAGAGAGCAATTTAAATGTAAATGAAGCCATGTTTGGAAGTTATCCGCAAACTTAGTGAGGGCTGCAGATTTCAATGAGTTAAAGAAAAATCTACATACTGACCTGCATAACTTGAATCTAGGGACTGAGAGATCACCCTATTTGGAGGGCATGCACTCAGAGATCCTATAGTCCTGGCAACTATTAAAGAGAGCTTTACTTGTCCCTTTCCATCTTGAGAAAAATCACTCTGAAAGGCTACAGCTCTGGAAAATCCCATACAAAATTTCTGATTGACATGCAATCTCAATCAGCTGAAAAGGTAACCCCAAAATTTACCACAGAGGCTACCCCAAATTATTTGGGATAATATAATTGTTTCCTTTGTGAAACTCAGAAAATTTAGAATTAAGTGCAGGAATAGTGTTTTTAAATCTAGGGTGGTTTTCCAATCGCTTCTTGGCCTTTTGGCTAAGATCAAATGTAGGGCGATTTTCCAAGGTCATGGGTTTGGATCCCCATACAGTCCAGCTGCAAAAAATAAAATAAAATAAATCTAGGGAGATTTAAAAATAGAGACACAGGGGCCGGCCCGTGGCTCACTCCGGAGAGTGTGGTGCTGATAACACCAAGGCCCCGGGTTCGGATCCCATATAGGGATGGCCGGTTTGCTCAGTGGGTGAGCATGGTGCTGACAACACCAAGTCAAGGGTTAAGATCCCCTTACCGGTCATCTTTTAAAAAAATAAAAATAAATAAAAATAAATAAATAAATAAATAAATAAAAATAGAGACAGAAATCAAACCCACAGGTTACTGTTTTCATATAAAATTTGGCAATAATCTGTGCATATTTGGTATTTCAAATATGAATTTTCAAAGCTTATGAGAATTTGCCCTTTTTATAATAACAGATTAGCCTCTGACTGATTAAATGATATACTTGCATTTTTTTAAGTTGATAAATAAGTTTATAAACAGTATTTGAACACTTAAGAGTGCCTAAGACTCATTATATTTCTAAATTTATTAGATTTACAAAAGATATTTAGGTAATTGCCAAAATTTTGTAATTTTGCTTGTTAATAAATAGACAAATAAAGTTCCTAAAAGGAATACAATGTACTAAATGTATATATATAATTTAAAATGTTTAAAGGAATTTAGTTAACCACATTATGAAAGCCCTCCTAAAATCTGCTAGATTTATAAGTGGACTTAAAGCTTAGGGGAAAATGTGTAACATTTTAATAAATTAAATAATAATTTTTAAAAACTTAGCTCCTGAGTGATCTTTTACGTGCCCAAAAGCAAACATCAAGGACGCCAGAAAACTCACAATAACACTAATAATTTTTCTAGCCCAGTGGTTCTTAAGCAATGTAGTAGAGCAACTGGAGAATACCAAATTGTCATTTGAATCAAGTGTTGTGTTACAATTTGATCAATTTGCCTTGGAATAGGATTTCCCAAGGATTCTTCCTTAGCCTTGAAAAAGGTTCTGTGAATTAAAAGTTTGGGGCAATTCTGGGCTAAACAGGTATTTTTGTTTCACTGCAGGATTTCACAGTGCCTTTACTAGGCTAGTGTACTTTGTGAATCTCCAAGAAAAGTATATAGTATACTGTACTTCCCAAACTTATTTCATTCATTATTTATTTATTCATTCATTCAGTCATTCAATAACTATTTATTGAGCACCTCATTTGTGCCAGAGATTGTTCTGTGCACTTGGGATAAAGCAGAGAACAAAAGAGACAGATATTCTTCACTACATGGAGCTTAAATTCTAGTGGGAGATCAGACAATAAAAATAAAGAAGTAAAATCTGTGGTATGTCAGATGTTATTAAATGGTATGGCTAAAAATAAGACTGGGAAAGGGGATTAGGAGTTCAGAGGATGAAGGTGGGGAGTTTACATTTTCAAATAAAGTAATCAGAGAAGGCCTCATTGAGAAGTCGACATTTTAGCAAAGACCTGTAAGAGATGATAGCAAGCCATGTAAGATATGTGAGTAAAGAGTATTCCAGGCAGAGAGAACACCACATGCAAAGGCCTTGATACAGGAGTGTATCTGACATGTTCTAGAAATAGCAAAGAGGCCAGTGTGGCAGGTATATAAAAAAGGAGAGTAAAAGATGAGATTAGATTAGAGATTGGAGAGGATTTTGGCTTTTTCTCTGAGTGAGATGGGAAGTCATTAGGGTGTTTTGAGCAAAGAAGTGTCATGTTCTCATCTATGTTTTAAAAGGATCATACTGGCTCTTGTGTGAAGAATAAACAGTAAGTACAAGGTCTGAAGGAGGGGAGGTTGGTTAAAAGTTATAATAATTCAGAGGAGATAATAACAGGAGGGTTTAGATCAGTGAGGTAACAGTAGAGGTGATAAGAAATAGTTGAATTCATATTTCCACTCTCTCTCTGTACACTTACACATAAAAAGAATATATATATTAACTTTTTGATATGGAAAATATCAAACAAAAAATGGTATAATGAGGTTTTTTTTGGGGGGGTGGCTGGCTGGTATGGGGATCCAAACCTACGACATCTAACCAACTGAGCTAACTGGCCAACCTCAAAAAATAGCATAATGAACCATCACGTACCTGTCACTTGGCTTCAATGATTATCAACTATCAATTCAGGGTCAATCTTTTTTCATTTAACCTCCAACCGTTTCCGTCAATTCCCATATTATTTTAAGCATATACTAGACAAAATATCATTTCATACTAAATATTTCAGTATGAGAACTCTCATTTTTAACATAACTACATTACCACTATCACACCTAAAAAATTAGTAACTCCTTAATATCAACTATCTAGTAAGTGTTCAATTTTCCAGCTGTCTCATATATGCTTTATTTTTTACAGTGTTTTTGAATCAGGATCCACATAAGATTCATACATTGTGATTAGCTGATATGTCTTTTAAGTCTCTTTTAATCTGTAGATCTTCTCTCTGACTGCACCTCTTTTTTTCTCCCCTTGTAATTTATTTGTTGAAGAAACTGGGTGGTTTGTTCTAACTAAATATATTTGGAAGGTAGAGAAGACAGGATTTGTTAATGGATTAGAGTTAGGGTGTGAGAAGGGAAAAAGGTGCTAAGGGGTTGGCTGGTTCAATTGGTTGGAGCATGGTGCTGGTAACACCAAGGTCCAGGGTTTGATCCCTGTATGTGCCAGCTGCCCCCCCCCCCCAAAAAAAAGAAGTTTGGTTTCGACCTGTGAAGTCTGATCTGCTTATTAGACATACAGGTGGAAGTTATTTGACTGACCATGAAATTCTTTTTTTTCTTGGGGTATCTTATGAGACCAAGGTTTTGAGCAATACTTTAAGGAAATACTATTTTTGTTCTAATTGCTCTTGGCCACCAATCTAACTTATGAATACTAATTCTTCCTACTGAAAAGATGATGATATGTCTTAGGAATCATAAGATAGTAAATAAAAAGATATGTTAAAATTGTTCCTGCTGAAGAGAAAAAACAACACTGGATTACTTCTTCTAAAATATTCACCCTGGGCCGACCCCATGGCTCACTTGGGAGAGTGCGGCGCTGTGAGCGCAGCAGCACTCCCGTCACGGGTTCGCGGGTTGGGATCCTGTATAGGGTTGGCCGGTGTGCTCACTGGCTGAGTGCGGTGCGAGTGGCACCAAGCCAAGGGTTGCAATCCCCTTACCGGTCACAAAAACAAACAAACAAACAAACAAAAAACAACGATAAAATATTCACCCTAAAGAGCTGGCCAGTTAGCTCAGCTGGTTAGAGTGCAGCCTTATAATACCAAGGTCATGGGTTCGGATCCCCATACCGGCCAGGTGCCAAATAAATAAATAAAATATTCACTGTAATAATTGATCTGTGATGAAATAAAATTTTCTTCATCAACAACAGAGAAGAGGAAATAAAAAGTTTAACCAATTTTTATTTCTACTTTTATTTTTTTAATTTCATCATTATAATAATAATAATAATAATAATTATTATTATTATTATTTGGCAGCTGGCCAGTATGGAGTTAACTGATTTTTTAAAAAATGGTTTGCAGATCAATACAGGTTGATTCAGAAACTACTTATATTTTGGGTCTGAATTTCTTGTAAGAAATTTAATCCTGTTCCTATAAGCAGTCTGGAAATTGCTTCAGTTTACATTAAAAAAACAACAACAAAAAAAATGCAAGCTACTTCAAAAGAAGCAGCTATTTCTAGTATTTAGAGTAGAAATAACAACCAGATAGAGGAAAAGAAACATGGTATTCCAAAGATTTTGCTTAGTGGTTATAAAAAATATGAGATACGCACTCAAATTCCTGGCTCCCAGTGGTGATATGGAAAACCATCTTCCTCTTTTCACTATATTCAAATGCAGTCAAGAATCCTGGTTCCTACAGAAAGATAAAAGGAAAGGTTCAAAAAAGGTATATGATGGTTTTAATTTCAAATGCTGCCAAAAACTATATACTCAATTACCAAGGTGATCATTTGTATAAGAAATAGTTTATGTGTCTTTGAAAGCAGTACAAGATCATGGTTAAGGGCACAGGCTTATTTTTTGTGTGTGTGTGTGTGTGTGTGTGTGTGTGTGACAGTACAAGGATCCAAACCCTTTACTTTTGTGTTACAAGGCTGTGCTCTAACCTATTAAGCTAACTGGCCAGTCCCTAATTTCTTTTATTTATTTATTTCTGAAGAACACAGGCTTTGAAGCCACCCTACATAGGTTCAAAATATGTCTCTGATCCTCTTTAGTTGTATGAAATGGGGTAAACTACTTAATATCTTGCTGTATTTCTGCTTCCTCTTTTGGGTCAAACGAGGATAATAAGAGCGTCTCTTTTATAGGGTAGCCAAGAAGATTAAAATGAGATATCTTTATGGCATAAAACAGAATTGTATTTTACTGAATGATTCAGTTGCTTTCATTCAGCAGATCATAGAAAGATTTGTATTATCTTTTTTTTTTTTTTTTCACAGCTGGCCAGTATGGGGATCTGAACCCTTGATCTTGTTGTTAAAACACCATGCTTTAACCAAGATATTATCTTTTAATTCTATTTTTCCATGAACTTTTTGAAGTATCTTCGTATTTTTCACATGATAGATATACTACTTATTTGCTGAATTAATAAAATACAGCTGATGCTGGGGCAAAACTAGTGAAAATGGGCCCCGATGTAGTCTAATATGTTTCCCTCTCTGTTGTTTTATACTATGACAGTGGTTCTCAAACTTAAGAGAACTTGGAGGAGCAGGGGGATGGGCAAGCCCAAACCCTATCCTACTTCAGTGAGCCTGGGCCTCTGCATTATTAGCCACTCCAGGTGATTCTGATACACATCAATTTTTAGAACCACTGTACTATGAAATTAACTTCCTTTCTTTCTCTCATTCTGTCTCTCTCAATATCTTTTTCTTTTTAAGAATAAGCAACTTTATTTATTTATTTATTTTTCCTTTTTGTCTTTTTTTTTTTTTACTGACCGGTAACGGGATTGCAAGCCTTGGTGTTGCGCCCGTACCGGGGACCGGCAACAGGATCACAACCCTCGCTCGGTGTTGCGCCCGCACCTCGCTCAGCCAGTGAGCGGGAACCGGTCTCCACATGGGATCCAAACCCTCGGCGGGAGCGCCACCGCGCTCCCAAGCGGCACACTCTCCAGTGCGCCACCGGGCCAGCCCAGAATAAGCAACTTTAGCTAAGAAATGATGAGACTCCTATGGGTGCTTAAGAAGGAGAGCGGTTCTTTTCATTGATAATGAGATTTCATTTCCAAAGAAAAGACTGATGTCTAAGAGCTATAAAGTAGCAGTAACCCAAACCCTGGGTATTGCTCCTGGTCTTCGTTAGACACCCTGGCAGTTGTGGAATTGACCTGTGGGTGCAACGCTTGAGTGTACCCAGAAGCTAGAGCAATTGAGCTCCGTTCACAGTAGTTCAGTTGGGTCCTCTCCAAGTTTAGGACTCACTACCACTTGCATCACTCTTCTGCCTTGACTGCCTCTGAAGAAGGAAACCACATGGCTGTTGGTAAAGAGAGCTTCTTGACTCACTGGGAATGAGACCCTCATCTACCAATGAAGAAATGGAGAGGATAGCTCTTCTGTAAAGAGGAAGACTTGGTTACTACCTTTCTGCATACTCCTATTTCCAAAGCTAGTACCTCTAGTGGTCCCCAAAAGCTCTACACAAAAGCTTGGGTCAAAGGCATATATGCTTTTGCCTAGCAGTCTGGCAGCTGCATGGGTCCCTCACAGTGTGTGGGCCCAGGTAAGAGGTACGGGTTATATTAGCTCAGCTGCCTCAGTGAGAATATTCTTGGTCATAACTATTTCAACTGCACACATGTCGACTCAACCACTGTTAGTCTTTTTCTAACCCAATGCTCTCTTATCAATTGGTCTGCACCAGGAGAGAGCAACTTCTTTGGAACCAAGTGCTTTCCAACAGCCCTATATAGGTACAACATTTGAGAAGACAACACAAAAATAAGGAGGTGGAAGATAAAAAAACAAAAACAAAGAGGAGAAGGAAGGGCAGAGAAACAGAAAGCCCAAAGTAACACAAAGTAATTACAAAGAAGTAATACAAAGGGAGACAAAAAGAAAAGTTTGGGTAGAAATAATTACCTTCATTAGTGTTCCAGGTCCCTTAACCCCTACCTCAATCTTTCAGAAACTAATTGCCATTGCTTTGAAAGTGAAGTGATAAAAAGTTAACATGGAGAGTATAATATATTGTGATCTACAGGGACTCAGAATTCCCACATTAATTTCTAGTGTTCATCATGAAAAAGACTACAAAGACTCACAATGCTCTTCTAAGCTAAAACAGCAAAGAATAGATTTTGCTTACAATAAGTTTGTTTGCTGCCTCTTTAATCTTGTCCACTTTGGCTTCTGAGAGTCCTTTTACATTGCATAGGGCTCTTCTTGTTGTCATTTGTATCCCTTTGATGGTACAGATTCCTACTGACTTGAGTTTCTTAATGTCAGCCACGTTCTGTAAATAAAAAAAATGGACACAGCAGATTGATAAAATGCCAGCCTGAAAGGCTCCCATACTATGTCATGTGCTTTTGTGTCCATCTCCTTCCACCATGATGCCAATTTTATATGAACAACCAGGTGGAACCCACCCACCATGTAGTCAAATGTTCTGGAAATATCTGAGTAGAACATACCCAGCAGGCTGCCAAATGTTCTGGCTGTACCCTGATTTCCCAAGAATGTTAGTGAGACCATGGCAATATAACAAGGAATTCAAAAGAAAAGTCTGTTGGCGGAAAAGCTAACAAATTTATCATACATTCACCCCTTCAGTTCAGCTCTTTCCTTCTACAGAACTTCATTACCAACATGCTCTTTTAAAATTTTTAAAGATTTTTTCTTCTGCCCCTGGAGAATGCAAATAACTATATCACCAAAGGACCAGCATTTTCTCTTTCTTCTATTTTGTAAAACCAACTGAAAGAAATGAAATATGAGGGCTTCAAAAGATAATGTCAGTGGAGTTTTACTATCAACTGGATGCTATTGAAATCCATTGAGTTTGGGTCTGGCTGGTCAGCTCAGTTGGCTAGAGCTTCATGCTGATAACACCAAGGTCCAGGGTTGGATTTCTGTACTAGCCAGCCACCAAAAGCAAAGCAAAACAAACAAAACGAACAAACAAGAAATCCATCTACTTTATTACCCAAAGTCTGGATTTCTGCCAAAATCATTTACTCCAGTCACCTGACATATAGAACCAAATTTTCTGTTAATGAAGATAGTAGATGTAGACAGTAGATAGATAAGGGGATGGGGAATGGGTTCAGAGGAAGCTCTGAACACCTCCAATTGGATCAGTGGTTCTCAACCAAGGGCAATTTTGCCCCCTGTGTACGCTTGACAATATCTGGAGATATTTTTGGTTGTCAGTTGTCACATCTGGAGGGGTGCTACTGGCATGCAGTGAGTAAGTAGAGGCCAGGGATGTTGCTAAACACCCTACAACGCACAGGACAGCCCCACACAACAAAGAATTATCCAACCCCAAATGTCAGTAAGGCTGATGCTGAGAAACTCTGATTTGGACAATTTAACACAGCATTGAAAAACTACTTACAATTCCATGTTTCTGTAACAGGTCAATGTCTTGAAACAAAGATTCCTAAAGGAGATAGAAAAGAAAAAAAATGGAGTTATGATTTTTCCTATCAAACTGTTTCACATCTTTTAAAGAGTTAATTCAATACTATGAATCACTCCAAAATGCCTCAAATTCCACTTTTTGGACAGATTGAGGCAGGATCAGTCATGTTTTTCCAAACACATTTTTATGTACTTAGAAGAAGCAGTAATAATGAAAGGGCAGGGAAGCCAATTACTTTTGTCATGTCCTCCTTAAAATTTTAATACCTCTACCCAAAGAAGTGGAACAACATTTGACCTATTTTAAATATGTTTTTTCCAACTTCTTCCCCTCCAGGCCTTGATCTCCTTCCTCTAGAACTAGGCTGCTATTTGGTACCAAGGTGCATAGGTACCAGAACGGCCATACCAGTTAAGATATTAAAATACTTTCATACCAGTTGCTAAGTAGCTAATCTTAGCATCTCGCCAAACAAGACATTACATATTTGTAACATGTAACTGTCTTGTTTCTACTCTCAGTTTCTAAAAATAGTAGCTAACAGAGAAGGAACTTGATTTTTGTGGGATGACTAAATGTCTACTTATCTTTCAACATTCTAGTCATACCTCTTCATCTTGGAATCCTGGCTCTTCCAGCACAACTTGATCCTCCTTCATATTGAAAGGTAAGCAGCAGAAAAATAATCAACTCTGGGAAAATAAAAAGTATTATTAAAGAAGTAGTCAGAGATCATATAGTAAAAAATCTTTTGCCCAGAATCCTCATTGATTTCATTTCAAAGTCACCAAGGACCAGAAGGACAATAAGAAAAACATTTTGTTTGGAAAGACTGGGCTGGCCTATCTTTGTGCTGGGCATGTGGCATTATTTCTTTTATGGGTTATGTGTATGTCAGGGATGGGAGGCTATGGTTTTTTTTCTCTTCAGCATTACTCACTTTTTATCATCTTCTGATTTCCTATTGCACAATTAGTCATGATTGTATATCTTTATTACTGCCTTGAAATATTATTTAGAATTGCATATTGCTATTAATCTTTCATGTTTAACAATACTCTAAAAAACTTGACATTATATCATTTTTCCTTGTATCCTCCCTTGAACTTAGTCTATCCTAATAAATAGATTTTATTTTTCTCATATATGGAGAATGCCTTCCTGCTCGCTGATTATGAATGGGTGCTCTTGTAGCATACATCTTTTTGTTTCATAGAACATTAGCTATACTTTGTTTCACCATATTTACTAGTTTCATGATTTTTTTTTTAGGATTTAAAAATATAGTGGATACCCAACATTATAATATAATATTAGGGCTAATAAGCAGACACTTTGATTTAACATTGTAGAAGTTTCAAAATCTCAGGAAGCTACAAGGCATCACTGTATTCATTACAATAAAATATGGTTCAAATAATCATTTTTCTTGGTCTGTTCCATTTCCTCATTTAATACAAAAGACAGAGGCTGGTGCTCAGCACAGAGAACAAACTACTAAGGCAGAGGTATGGTCGCTACCATCTGTTATTTCCCAACAGCAACGTGTCAGAGGCAAACGAGGAGACAGTTTGAATGGGATCTCCTGGATGCTGTCCCTCAGAGAGCTACCTATATGCACGATCACCCCAAATTCCACACCGACTGTCCTTATCGAAGAAAAAAAAATTCGTCTCCCTGTGACAAAACGAAGATTGTTCCCCATCTTTCTCAAGTAGCGATTGATGGACTGAACAATTGAATCTAAACTAGGGCCACCAAGCACCTCGGTTTAAGGCGACCGCTGTTGCTCCTAACGGTGGGGGTTGCTGGGCAGGTCGCCCTCGACGCCTCCCTCCCGACACCAGAATCCTTCGAAAGAAGGAGGCGAGGCCGAAAAGTTCCCTTCAGGACTTAAAATAAGGAGGCTGGAAATCCCTCGAGATCGCCGAGATTCCTTCCCGGCGGTGGGGACGGAACGCACAACGTCACTAGCCCAGGGCCCAGCAGCGACCACCAACTGTTACCAAAATGGGCGAGAAAGCGGAGCGCTCGTTCTCGCAACCTCGAGTTTCCCCTCAGATTCTTCACACGTTTTCCCTTTTTGCCACTCACCCCCTTCGTACCCACAGTCTCCCCGAGACTGTCAAGGTGAATCTCTTTTGTCCCCCGCCCGCGCTTTCCCGTCCTCAGCTGACAGGATTCTAACTCGGAATCAGAACGCGGATACTGGCGAACCGCGCGTCGCCGACCACAGGGTTTGGCGCCAAACGAGGAGCGAGCGCGCTCGGTGTGGGCGGGGCGAGGACCAAGAGGAGGGGCTGGACCCCGGGCGGGGCTCAGAGTGAGGAGGCGGGGCGAGGGGCGTAAAGCAAGCGGGTGCCCACAGATGGCGACGCTCAGGGCCAGGGGGCGGGGCAAAGGCAGAGAGGCGGGGAGTGGAGGGCGCGCAGTGGGCGGGCCCGGGCCACGGTAGGGCGGGGGCCGTGGCTGAGGGCGAGGGGGCGGGGCGAGGACTGATGAATTCGGTAAATGGTGTCAGACTAACTAGGTAGCCATCCAGAAGAAAAGTAAAATTGGAGCTTTGGAACCATACTTCATACCTTATACCAAAATAAATTTCAGATGGATCAAAAAATTAAATCTGGACCATAAAATAATAAATGTACTAGAAGAAAACATGGAACAATTTTTTATTATTTTATAATAAGAAAAATCTTTTAAAATGTGACACGAAACTCAGAAGCTGTAAAAGATTGATAAATATGACTATATTGAAAAATATATATCCTACATGGCAAAATGCTACTTTCTTATCCAAGATAAAAAGCATGGCATGCTCGAGCTTTTGTGTTAATTAGTGACTGGAGAATACAGCTTGCCAAATTTTTCAAATCCTTCAGGGAGTCAACATCTGTCTATAAAAATTTTAAATTTTGAGGACTGAGGGGGGCGGGAGGGGCCAGGACCACTGGAAGGAGCCTCCTGAGGGTGGCGCGGTGGAAGGGGTGTGCTGAGGAGAGGAGAGCGGGAGGCTCCCTTGAGCTGAGGGGGATGCCGAAGTCGGGGAGGGGACTCTGAGGCGGCGGCACTGATGTGGCCGACCTTGAGGCGGGGAGGGGTACTGAGCGGAGGTGGGCAGGAGGTGACGTGTCGATGCTTAATCAAGACCCTCGCGTTAGGAAGTCGAATATGGCGGCGGGGGGGCGGGGCGGTGTCTTTTTTCCGCCCAAGGCTTTTGTTTTCATGCCACGTTTTTCACAGCTGTCTGTATAGTCTGTTCCTCCTACTCCAGAGTTCCGTTTCCCTCTCTTCTCTACGACTCTTATCGTTTGCCACTCTCTTGTCTGTGATTGAGACACTCAAAGCCCATTCAGGATGGAGAGTAATTTTTCTTCTTCTTGAGGTTTTAAATAGACCACAGAAGCCAAACATATTTTGGTTCAGCTTTTAAATTAGACGTTTTAGGCCAGCCTTCATGCCAGCAGAGCCATCTCTAGCACGTCATCCTCCGCCCCTTAAATGGAGACTGACTGTTGAGAGTCATAAAACGTTTGAGAGTGCATCTATTGAGGTGGAGGCTGTGATGTCTCTTGGATGAATATCTGTGCAAAAGTTCTTTGGGCTCAAGACCTCCTACAGAGCGACCCTTTTTCTTCTGTCTGAATCATTTTGCTGGAAAAAATAGCAAAAAAATTCCCACAAAAGCAGTTGGCATTTTGTAGGACTTCCCCCCCCCCNCCCCCCCCCCAGGTGGATTGTTTAAAGAGCCAAGGAATAACTGCCACAGCGCTTCAAAATCTGTTATTTTCCAGAAATATAGCCTGTCTTTGTTAAATGGAAATTAATGCCCATTTTGGGGAGGAACTGCATAATGATGCTAGGCTTTCACTGAGGCCTCACCTGAAATAATCATAGTAACTTTTGAGCAACTTGTTCCATGAAGACATAAACAGTGTATAGAAGAGCTGCAAAGAGCACAGCAAGATGATTTAGGGAAATAGAACATATGTAGTTTGGTGTAGTGACAGCTGGGAGAGAGGAATGTTCATAATATTTGAAGGTTGTGTGCAGTACACTTCAAGAAACTGAAATGAGCTTGGGAATGACAGATTCATGAAGTGGGTATCATATTGATGGTTATAAGCAACTTTTAAAGTGTTTTAAAACAACAACAACGACAAGGCATGGAGTAGTTAAAAAGTGCACATGAAAAACTTTCCACTCAAGTCAGGCTCCCCCACTGTCCAAGAAAACCTAGTTTTTCATATACAAAAATTCTGAATATGATCAAGGCAACATTTCAGATCAGGGAGGAAATGATGAATTCGGTAAATGGTGTCAGACTAACTAGGTAGCCATCCAGAAGAAAAGTAAAATTGGAGCTTTGGAACCATACTTCATACCTTATACCAAAATAAATTTCAGATGGATCAAAAAATTAAATCTGGACCATAAAATAATAAATGTACTAGAAGAAAACATGGAACAATTTTTTATTATTTTATAATAAGAAAAATCTTTTAAAATGTGACACGAAACTCAGAAGCTGTAAAAGATTGATAAATATGACTATATTGAAAAATATATATCCTACATGGCAAAATGCTACTTTCTTATCCAAGATAAAAAGCATGGCATGCTCGAGCTTTTGTGTTAATTAGTGACTGGAGAATACAGCTTGCCAAATTTTTCAAATCCTTCAGGGAGTCAACATCTGTCTATAAAAATTTTAAATTTTGTGTCATTTTTATGATATTCTAAGAAAAAAAAGACAAAAAACAGGCAATGGAATTGTGATTAAGACCTGAATTTGAAACCATTACACTTTACTGCCCCTCTGTGGACAATCACCTTATAACCAAATAAGAGGCACGTGATTCCAGTGCATGCAGCTGGGCTTCCTCAAACTGGTGCCTGTGCATATATGTTTTTGGAGTTTGAAGAGCTCAAATTTGAGAAATACTTTAGTAGAGAATTAAAGAATGAAGGCTCATTACAAAAAGGAATTTCAATGCTGTATATCTTCTATTAACATAGTTAATTCATTCAGAAAATATTTATTGATTTCCTACTATCAGTTAGGCACTGTGCTAGGTGTTGGGTAGTAGAGAGTCAACAACAAAGGCACCAACCCTAGTGGGGGCTATAGATAAATATACGGGGAATTACAGTAAGAGCTTGTGAAAATGTATAATCGTGGAGTCTGCCTATGTTTTAGTCTGTTTTGTGTTGCTATAACAGAAATACCTGAGACTGGGTAATTCATAAAGGAAAGAGGTTTA